TCAGAAGAGTGAGGAAGGTCAAGCTGAGAGACTGTAGGAGTTTATAGTATTTGAGGAAGAAAATTCCCAGAACGCCAAATGGGCATTTCTTAAAAATCAATACAGTGAATCATTTCGCAAAGCTATTGCCAAAAGAGAAAAAAAAAATCCTTCCACTTTCTTGCGTCCTCTGACGGTATTCTACCTGCCCGCTAGCATCATTTACATAATCACAAACATTTTTGCCTAACGCAATAGTTGTGTAATACATTTAGAAAAGATCTAGTCAGTACCTATGGCTCAGTCCTTGTGTGTTTGCTGGTTAGTTTTTATGGCCAACATAATGTCACCTAGGAAGAGGAAATCTCAATGGAGGAATTGCCTATATCAGATGATCTGTGGGGTATTATTTTGATTACTAATTGATGTAAGAGGGCACAGATGACTGCAGATGTACCATCCCTAAGCCGTTGGTCCTGGGCTGTACAAAAATGTTAGCTACACACAAGCCTGAGAAAGTGAGAGATCTAGGGAGTGAGCAAGAAGGTAACAATCCTCTCTGGCCTTCTCTCAATGATGAGTTCTGATCTGGACAAGTAAGATCAAAGCACTTTCTGACACATGTTGCTTTTGATGAGAGCTTTTCATCACAGCAAGCAAACTAGGACAGTATTTAAAGTTGAGAACACAACCCACCAATACAATCAGAAGCTGGATTGTATTAAGACTAACTGAAATGAAAACATTTAAGAAAGGTGTACCGATTTTAAGAGATAATTTGGAAATATTAAACCTGTATAAATAAATAAAATGTTGAGCTTGCCCTTGATCACCAACATAATAACTGCATCCTTCACATCTAGTTTCTTGCATTCTAATTTTTTTTGCCAGGTATATTCCTTTTTATTTTATATAGAATAAAATTCTATATGTGGTATTTTTATATCATCTCATCCTGAATGGTCATTTTTCAAGAGTATGAATTCTCAAAAGAAAATGTAGACAAAGCACTAATGATAGCAACCCCAAAATGCCCATAATGTGATACATGCTGTGTTCTTTTTTTTTTATTTTATAATTCAATTTAATTTTACATGTCAGTCACAGATTCCCTTGTCCTCCCCCTCCCCTCCTCCTGTCTTCCCCCTAGCCCACCTCCCATTTGTTTGGAACCTGGGGCTTATGCAGGGATACTTAGCTCAGCCTGGGAGGAGGGGACTGGACCTGCCTGGACTGAATCTACCAAGTTGAACTCAATCCCCAGGGGAGTCTTTGCATTCTAATTTTTAATCATATGCCCTGCTTCCTATAAAATAAATGTCTTTTAGGGAGAAAAATGAAGTGGTCCTAAAATTAAGAAAGTCTACATTTCTCCTGCACACTAGGGCATTTATTTTATGCCCTATGTCATTCTATTTTATTTTCTTCTGGTTCTGAAAAACACCATGCTGGCAAGATTTCTCATAGAAGGTGGACATGATAAAAGGGAATGTTAGAGAACTATCCATCAACTGACCAACATCCTCTTCAGAAATAAAGGGGGGAAAATACATAGTTTCATTTTAGCTACTGAACTGAGACAGTTTCCTCTGCACACAGAATGCTTAAACTCTCTGCTCTAAGTAATCAGTATTTTTGTAATTATGTGAAACATTATAATTAAATAGTTATCATATATGTGCATTACATTGAATTCAAACTCCTAGTTATGTGATAAATATGCAAAGCCCAAAGAAGATAGTGAAGTTATAAATAATGAAAGACTGAGGAGTAAGGAAAAACAACCCATAGAAAGCATGACAGACTCTAACATGTAGCAAACCCCACATGCACTTATCTGTCTGAGGAAGCCCCACAGCTGCAGCTTCTGGGTACAGGAAAATAGGACATTTGGACTGTGCTCCTTCATAAGAATGCCCTTGCAAAAGACAGATAACTGGAAATGCCTGATTATCTCTCCATTGGTAAGAAGAAATGGGGATTTGTATATAATCTTTGTTTGTGAAGATAATAATTTACATAATCACAAACAATTAACATTTTTGCCTAATGCAATGGTTATGTAATTCTATTCTTTCACAAACAAAAACTTGGGAGGACATTTTCATTTTTCTCTGAATGTTAAACTATTCTTTGGGGAGTTTCTTTCCTGGAAAAAATATAAGACCGAATGCTACATTTTTTTAAAAAAGTCAACTCAAGAAATTTTGACAGATAACATGTATACAAAAGGTCAAATTGCTGCAGTGAAATCTGGATGACTGGACAGGAAACTTGTCTCATAATTAAGGAGGAGTCAAGGGAGGTTTTCTTCATATTTACAAGTAAGTATGTTCTCTCTGGATCCTAAAACACTGATATTATTTTCTTGGAAATAAATGTGATGCCATTTAACTCGATGCCAATGTTAGATAAGTTAACTCGTGGGAAGACAGTGATTCTTCGTGGATTCATTAAACTATAGCTGGCATTTCAATAGATCCACTGCCTATGTGCCTAGAATTCACATGAACATGCACACAGGAAAAGAAAGCTGCAAAGAGAAGGAAATATACAGTAAAGTCCTCTGTGTCACTCTGGCACAGGGTACAATGATGAAGCCATGAGTCTATTCTGTTGCTGAGACACCTGTAACACCAGTTCAAGGTTTGATTTGAATTTTTGTACTATAGAATTCACCCGCCACTGAAAAATTACTTTGCCATTTGCTTCTAAATCTCTTGACATTTAAAGGTTTTATGAAGATTGCCAGATTTATAATAAACCTTGAACTTCAAGAGAAGGAATTTTTAATCATTTTGGGGCAAATGGTGTGCAGAAAATTATCTTGTAACTGGAAGCAATATTTTTAAATGTAATATTTTTATTAAATCTTTGAGAATTTCATACATGCATGCAATGTGTTTTGATAATATTCACTCCCAACTTTTCCTATTAACTCCTTCTTGGTTCACTTTCCAGTCCCTCACCATATCCCTAATTTCTACCCCTTTTTGTTAGAGATGAGTGAATCTAAATTGTGCTGCCATATATGCATGGTGTTGGGCCACCCAGTGGAACTTCTCTTTAGGCCACACCCCTAAAGAAAACTGACTCTCCATAGCCTACTCATCACTACCTCCTTAGCTAGAGGTGAGCGTTTGTGAGCCTCTCCCCTCTCCAAGCTGCAGTATTGTTTGGCTTGATCTTGTGCAGGTCTTAATAGGCAGTCACAGTTGCCTATTTGACTTCTGTCTAAGGGCAGAAGTTCTGTGATGTTCAAGTGGAACTCTTTCACTGAGGTTCATCCTGATCTCTGTCTCTCAGGCTCCTTCCCCCATCCCATGATATACCCTAAGCACTGGAGAGAGACTCTGTAATACACTTGTCTCATTCATGGTTGAGTGCTCTGTAGATACTCAGCAGATACATTTTGACTCATGGGTTTCCAAATTAACAGTTGGCAACTGGCATCTATGTGCTCCCCAGTTATAGATTCTCTACCATGTTTACAATTCCAAACAAGTCTATGTTTTCTCCTATGAAGCAGGCCTTAAATACAAGCAGGAAGTGATTGATCACCCCCTTGTTTTGTGAATGAAGGAAAAAAAAGAAATCAAAAGAAAAGGACATGACTGTTCCTAGGTATGGTGGAGGAGAAAGTTTATTGTTGATAATAATAGAGCATAGCCAGATGCAGAGGCATCTGGGAGAGTCCAGAGTGGACTTGACCCTGAGCCATGTGAGGAGATAGGAAGAGGAGAGGGGAGAGCAGCCACTGACAAAGTGGGGCAGCTTTAGCCAAGAGACTGACTGAGAGAGCGGCATAGTCCAAATAGGTGGATTGTGTAGAGAGGGCAGATGAGGGACAGGCAGCCTAGCCTCTGGACTGGAGAAATTTAGTGTAGGAGGTGGGGTATGCCTGCCATACCCTGTAACAGGTAGGCACTCAGGGATACTGGGGGAATCTGATGGCCAGGTCTACTTAGATATGTTAAATACGAACCTCAGCTATGAGTCCTAGAGATTAAGACAACATTCTGCAGCAGATGAGAGCCAAGGAATAACATAAAGTCACACCTTGCAAGTAATCTCACACAGACTTATTGGGGAGAACAGGATGGTGGCTGCCTCTGAGCAGGAAGCGAGACAGCAGGGGATTGAGCAGAGGGGAGGGCTTTTATAGGTTTGTTTTTGAGCATGCATAGTGAGCTAGCGGAAAAGTAAAGCATGGTTGAAAGTACTATTTGGCCTTATCATGGAGTTATGGGGACAGGGATTTCCAAGTGTCAGGAGCTCCAGTTCAAGGCAGGGGCAGGGTGTTCTTTCCTTGGCCCTCTCTACCTACACACGGGATGCTCTACAGAGAGACAGATGGAACATTACATTCTTCAGGGCAGGTCTTTAAAACTAAGGATGTAAACAACTCAAAATTTCAGGAAGCCCCTGAAACTGACCAGATGTACTAGTACCCCCACCCAACTTATATGAACAGTAAGAACTGTGGAGAGATACTTTCAGACTGACCAAGCTATGTAGAAGAGGCTCACACTAACTGATGTGCCCAGAAAAGACATTCTCCAACTTGTGAAACTGCCCTGAAAGTTGTTTCATTCACTTCAGGTTTCCAGGTTTGTGAGCCATCATCACTCATGCTGGGGTGGATTTCTGGTGATATAACTATCTCTGATTCATTTTGTTCCTGTAATTAACTCTTCAAACATACCCCTGTAACAAATCCCGATAAACCCATTGATTGCCCAGTTTGGTGGCATCCTTAATTTGGTATATCATTGGTTCCCTATTTGAGTGGAGAAGATATTTCTATCCTGCCAGGAATAGTGTTACACAATATCCCCATATTATTTGTGTTATAATTACAATCATATCTTGCCTGATTAGTCATTATTGAAGTTAGCAGAGTTCACAGCTGGCTAAGACTGTTGATAGCATTCACTGCTGCTTTTTGGAGTAGGTATCCAGAGCCACCAAATTTTTGATTTGTTTTTAAAAACTATACCTAAAGAACACCACAAAGCAAGAATGGAGAGTCCCGGAGCTATTACACAGACTTCTGAAGTACTTGGAACCAAAACTCACCCAAGTTTACAAAAATGTCAGAGAAAGAATAGGGAGTGTGCTGACCTACATATTCATGATAGATGTTTCTTTGCCAAATACTGCACCAACAACATCCCCTTGTATCCCCGAGTTTACTGCTCGAGTCCTAGAAAAACTGAAACCCCTCACTGATGTGGATGAAGAAATTCAGAACCATGTTATGGAAGAAAATGGTGTTGGCGAAGAAGATGAACGAACTCAGGGCATTAAACTCTTAAAAACCATATTGAAATGGCTTATGGCAAGTGCAGGAAGATCTTTTTCTACAGCAGTCAAAGAACAACTTCAGCTTCTGCCTTTGTTCTTTAAGATCGCCCCAGTGGAAAATGACAATAGCTATGATGAACTGAAAAGAGATGCAAAGCTTTGTTTGTCACTAATGTCTCAGGGGTTGCTCTACCCTCATCAAGTGCCTTTGGTACTTCAGGTGCTAAACCAAACAGCAAGAAGCAGTTCTTGGCATGCAAGATATACAGTGCTGACCTACCTCCAGACCATGGTATTTTATAACCTCTTTATTTTCCTGAACAATGAAGCTGCAGTTAAAGACATCAGATGGCTGATTATATGCCTTTTAGAGGATGAACAGTTAGAGGTTCGAGAAATGGCTGCTACCACCTTAAGTGGTCTGCTACAGTGTAACTTCCTTACCATGGACAGTGCCATGCAGGTTCATTTTGAGCAACTTTGCAAAACAAAACTACCCAAGAAACGAAAGTGAGACCCTGGATCTGTGGGAGATACCATTCCTTCTGCAGAGTTGGTCAGACGTCATGCTGGTGTTCTTGGACTTGGTGCATGTGTTCTTTCTAGCCCTTATGATGTTCCCACCTGGATGCCCCAGCTCCTTATGAATCTCAGTGCACATTTGAATGATCCCCAGCCTATTGAGATGACTGTAAAGAAGACTGTCCAATTTCCGAAGGACACACCATGACAACTGGCAAGAACACAAGCAGCAGTTCACTGACGATCTTGTCCTCACTGACCTCCTTGTGTCACCATGCTATTATGCATAGAGGATGACTAGTCCTGATTTGGGGCTCAATTCATCAAAAATTCCAGATCCTCAGGTACCATGTGTGGTGACTGTCTGCAGGTCTCACAACTCAGCCTCTGTTGAGCTCTCATCATTTTAGTGGCTTCGTGTTTGGCCTCCTTAGACTCTATTCACAGGTTCTCAGCTGCCATTTGATTTGCTAACTTGCCCTGAAGTGTTCCTAGAATACTGATCACTTTTTCTTTGAGACATATGACAAAGTCACAAAGTCTCAGACTAGAAATAATCCAGTATGATCATGGCATCATGACCAAACAGTCTAGAAACTTGTTAAAAAAACAAAACCATTTCCTTGAATGGAGAATGCTCATCAGTAATGTGGGTCCTGTCATTTCATTCATCTCAAATTATTTTGAATTCTTCTTCAAAGGTTGTTGGGTTCAGTGGTAGTAGGCCATGGGCCATGAATCTGAAGTCTGGACAGCCTTGGGACTGGAGAGCCATGAAGAGAAAAGGATCAAAGGGGGCAAGTCTCAGAATTAACCTATGACCTGACAGATTGACCACAATGCAGAAGTCTGTGTCTGTGTCCCCACAGACTGGAGTTTTTGGTGCTGAATAAGAGCCAATTGCTGAAAAATTGGGGGTCTGGTGAATAAATTTTAGAGTGATTTGTATGTGTATACAATGTGTGATTTAAAAAATAAAAACAACATCAATAAAAAAAAGAACACCACAAAACACAGTACATCTGAAAATTACATTTCTACCCCAGGCTTAATCTAGGTATAACTAGTGGCCAGGGAAAATAGAGTACAGATGTGACAATAATTATGTAAATTCTATGCTGTTTAGAGAAGTTTGGATAATAGGTCCAAAGTGTATATACATCATTCTTGGGTTTTTTTATTTTTGTTTTGTTTTGTGTTTGTTTGGTTGGTTGTTTGTTTGTTTGTTTGGTTGGTTGGTTGGTTGGTTGGTTGGTTTGGTTTTATTATTCTAATGGTTATGTGTCAATCAAAGAAAAATGTTGGGAGGAACAGTGTGTGAAGGTCACATAGACCAGAAAACAGGCTGTGAAACCCAGAGAGAATAAAAGCTTCTTATAGCTCTATGGATTCACATATTGCAATTAAACGTTCAGTTAACTGTTTTTACAAAACAGTACAAGTCTCTTATCATGTCTGTTACCATTCAAGCATCTTTCTGACCTGACAGAAATGAGACTATATAGGATTTAAAATCTCTTCTCCCTCTAAACATTGAGAATGAAGATAAGCAAGGTTTTCTACAGGTCAGGATGTATATTGTCTAGTATTAAAGTAGCTTTCTAAAGGACTGTATTGAGAAGGATTTTGAGCCAGGTGGTGGTGGTGGTGGTGGTGGTGGTGGTGGTGGTGACACACACCTTTAATCCCAGCAGAGGCAGGCAGATCTCTCTGAGTTCAAGGCCATCCTGTTCTACAGAGTGAGATCCAGGACAGGCACCAAAGCTACACAGAGAAACCATGTCTCAAAAAACAAAAGAAAAAGAAAAAAGAAGAAGAAAAGAAAAGGATATCAAGATTTCTTTTATTTTTAAAGATTTGTTTATTTTTGTTTTTATGCACATGGGTGTTTTTCCTCTAAATATGCCTGTGTAGGATATGTGTGAAGAACCTATAGAGGTCAGAAAAAGCATCAGATTCCCTTTGAACCAGAGTTATAGATGATTTTAAGCTACCATGTGGGTGCTGGGAATCAAACCTGGGTACTCTAGAACAGCAGCCAGTGCTTACCTGCAGAGCCATTTCTTGAGCCCCTACTAAGATTTCTTGAGAAGAAAAGGCTCCCTAAGATTCAACACTATCTCAAGCACTTCTAATGTAGTAAAAAAAAATAAAAATAAAAAAATAAATTCTAAATTGAAGCAAACTATCACATCTGCTGCATTTCTGGTTTGAAGAAAAGAAATATAATGTAGTCATCTAGTCATCTTAATATTTGTGTTCATAATCATTAATAGGAATAATTAAAAGAAACAAAAACTTTTAGGCCACACTTTGAGAATTCAAATGTTATACCCCTTTCCCATTAAGAAGTTTGGTTCAATGAAAAAAGCCACTTAATGGTGTAATGTCAGATATCTAACCCTATGCTTGCTTTTCTCTCAAGTCATAGAAGCCAAAGTTGTTCCATTCATAACATAATCCTGGATCTCAAAAATCTCCAACTAAGAGCCATAGTTGGAAGAGAACAATTTTTTGTGGGGGTTGTGAAACCATTAGTCTAAAAATCCTGTGGACCCAGAGGAAAAGGACTCCATCTATATTTCATGCCCGGAAGAGGAAAGTAGTCCAGCTATCGTGAAGGAAAAGAAGATAAAGAAAGAAAAAGAAAACTCATGCTTCATTACTCATACCCAGATCTCCCCATTGAAAACATTGCATCGTCTACCTTTCAGAACCTTATTAAAATTGCAGTCCCATAAACTCTAAAAATTCCTCCAACTGTCCCCTGAACCTCTTTGAATTGTCATATGATCTGAACATATGCAATCTGTAAAAGTTCCCACGTGGCAAATTAGGTATGTATAGGAAGTACATGGGAATTATCTATTTACTAAATATGTGTATGTCTTTTGTCATCACAAGAAAGATAATTAATACACTGATTTTGGAGACATACCAAAAATGTAATGGTAGGATTAGGTTCAGCACTAAAAGGAATCATATGCCCTGCAGTGGCCCTTAATTATTCAAAAGACCCAGTAATCATCTGCATGGAATTTATTAATAATTAATATATCTACCTTAATGCATTTTAACTGAACATTATTTTGTACACCAAATCATCTATGTTCAGCACTACTAAAAGTTTTACCAAATTTAGTTGTGATATCAACAGTGGGACATTAAGCTTGCTTCTCTTTTTATATTTTCATGGTACATTTTTGTTCTCTCAACTTGTCCTACTCTCTGGATACCACAGATATATTAGTAATCTCTATAAAGAACTTTTCTCCTGCTTGATCCTTTCATTATGTTCTATATCCATACATTCAACTGTTCGTTTGATTCCCCTACTTGAATAAATAGCTAATAATTATCTTTAAGGTAATACTTCCCAAATTAACTTTTTCTTCAAACTTATTGAATATATTGACATTCTGAGTCCTCTTCCAATTCAGGGCAAAAGTGTGTCACCACTGCTCTTAATGGCACAGATGAAAACTGAATTTGCCATGCTAGGTTCCATAATTCATTTACCTTCCCCATGTCCTGCAGTATACCTAAGTTAACTCCAGCATGCCCACTTCTCTCCTCCTTCACTGCTACCATCCTAGTCAACATGATCCCTTGCCCAGGACACTGCAGTAGTCTCTGGATACACACAAAATGCCAGCTCTTCTCCTTGCACATGTCATCTTCACAAAGCAGTCAGAATAGTCTTTTAAAACAATAGGACATCCCATGGTACTTACCTGAACAAAAACCTACAGTAACTTTAAATTACCTGGAGAGTAAATTCTGAACCATGTATGTGGGAGCCCATCTGGGAGACTGGCTCCCACATTTTACGAGAGGGAACTCTTGAGGAGAGAAGGATAAAAGATATTAGATAGAAGGATAGAGCGGAGAGAAACAGATGGAAACACAGGATAGCTTTGGGAGGCCCTGAATCATTATCCACTGGCCCCTCCTGTCTCTTATAAAGTGTTATTTATAGGAATGCCAAAGGGCGGAGCAGAAGACCTCCCCCTAGCTCAGCCAAGTGTAGACACTTCCAATCACCTGGTAACCACTCACATGGTCAAGCTATCCTCAAATGCAGCCCTGCTGGATGAAGCAAGCTCAGATCTCACTAGGAAACCTTTGTGGGCCTCCACACATGTGCCTACAAAGTCCTTTATTATCTTCATTGTGTAGTCTCTAAATCCTCTGTGTTGTTTTTGCTGTCAGCCTCTGCCACAAATTGCAAGTTCCAAAATAGAAAAAAAAAGTTTTATCTCACAGGTCTATGTCCTAGCATTTAAGTTTCTATGATGCTTAGTAACCTGTAAAAGTTTCTGAAAAGAGGAATTGGTGTTTCTAAAATATCAGTACTAATATATGGATGTAAATGAGTGAGAAAACACTACTGATAGTTGAATATTCCATATTTGCCAACTTCCACTCTACCATGCATCTGTGTTCTCAAATAAAATAGCAACTATATTGATGAAATTGGTTGTCAAAACTAACACTATTAGGAACGCAATTATGTACTTCTAACATTTGAAACAGATTTTTACCTAGATCTTTTACCAAAATCAATTTTATCACTAAGATTTTAAAAGTGTCTTCTCTTACCTGTCTGTTTGCTTCTCTGGTGAAGGGGGGGCAGGATATTTAGTTATATCATTTGTTTGCAATAGATTCTGCTTTGCTTTCATTCTGTTTCAAACAATTCATTTTAACCTATTTAATGTTTTCCCTTCAATTAAGAATCCATCCTTGACAACTTCTATAATTTAGACATAGTTTCCAATGTTTTCTTTAAGATAACAACAGTTCTTTTTATTTTAAATTTTAATAAGCCTAGAATTTACTTTTAAACATAGGAAAAATTGTGGGTCTAGTATTAGTTCTTCTCTTGCAGGTATTTCAAAGGTATCACTGTTTTTTCCATCCTGAATAGAATTCATTTATAGCATAGGATAGATATTTATCTTTATATTGTGGGTTCCTTTCTTAATTGTTCTGCAACATGACCATTTCTACTGATTTATTTTCCTAGTCTACATAGCACTGCTATTCCAAGCTGATTTCAGCCACTTTATAGCATATTCTCTCATTGCTCTTCAGGTACTTGCCAGAATTTATGGTTCCACATAAATTTTAAGATCTTCTTATGCCAGTAAGAATCCATGTGCTTTTTAATTGGAATTGCATTAAATTTATGCTAAATTAAAACTTCCCAACTAAGACTGGATTGTCTTTTACATTAATTTGTAATTTCTTTTACAAATCAAGAAGAAAAAAATCAAGAAGATTTTCTAGCATAAGTTGTGTCTTTTTCTCCTGGATTTACCACTAAGGGCTCTTCAATACGTTTTTGCTCTAGTTAATCAATCCCATTACAGACTTGACTGTGTTTTCCAAGCATTGCAGAAGTTGGAAAAAATAATCTTGATTTGTGTTTGTATTTTTCTTATTATTTATACTACTAAATTTTCTGATAAATTCCAGAAAGCACTATGATTTTTCTAGGTTTCATGTGTTTTATAGAAGTATAATCCATCAACACAACCAACCAGCTTTCTGGGATTTACTACAAATATACTAAAACTGTAAGAACTTTCATAACATAAGTAAAAGTATTGTAATAGATATAGCTGTCATTAACTCAAGCAATTCTGTTTTTAACAAGAGTATAGATTTAAATTTCATATAAAACTCTAAACATCTTTACTTTTTTAGAATTTTGAGTACTTAAAAATATAAAAGTTTTTCATTTCATAAAAATAAACTAAATACATTATGTATTTATATGCAAAAATAAACTAAGTATTATGTGTCCTACAGATGCTCTCATTTCTTGTGTTCTTGCAGGGCTAAGTATTGTAAGAGGTAAATATTTTAAATTATCACTCTCTGTGTTAGTTACTCTTCTCATTGCTGTGAGAAAATACCTGAGGAAAGTAACTTAAGGTAGAAAAAAGGTTATTTTGGCTCCCGTTTGGAGAAATAGGCCATCATGCCCAGGA